TTCTAAAGCATTTTACCTTTTTGCTTTATTAAACATTTCAGGTGCTCCAACTTAGCCTTAAATAGAATACAAATCATTAGCTATTTGGCTTCTTCTTCTAATATTTTTTTCAACTAGTGTGAAAGAATGTAGCACAGTGTATCTGTAGTCCCAGACTCCCTTTCTGTCTGCTCCGTTAACCTGAGGTTGCAATTCCTAGAGCGTGTCGAAAGGAGGAATGGACTAAGTGTCTGTCTCACCCTTAGTGTCTGTGCGTCATCGTCACATGATTCATCGCTTTGTTGTTCCTCATCAATGTACAAAACTGTTGGTTTACTGAYTTTCTCTCTACATTTAGGACATGTTTTCTTTCGATTGAGCCAAGTACTCAGACTGATAGAAAACAATAGTAATATTAAAGATTATCAACATAATTCCTAGGACATGACAGCAAAAACGTTATTTCTCATCTGCTTGTTTTTCTACCAGGAGTGAATAGCACAATGATATACTAACCACATTAAATGGAATACGTGACCACCTTTGACTAAGTTAAGAATCAATACTTAAGCTTAAGTTGTATCAATTAAGTTATGATTTGGATGAATTCGGATAATTTATTCGGAATCCATATTTCTCCATATCCAATTAAAACTATAAATTATGATTAAAAAGGATACATGGTCCACAAGCAACTTCGCCTCCTTGTTCTCGTCCTGGTATATGCGATATTAAATCTTGGCAAACAGTGCAGTAACCTCGAATCATAGCAACAAGAATAGTTTAAAAATCGCCCTCTCAACCAACTATATGCATGACGAAATCCATTCACAGCACTAAAGACACCAGCTACTTCAATGTCACTCCAGACAACAATACTAATCTACATTATTTCATACTGAAACAACGAGAAAAATATCTCAGAAGTACTTCAAAGAATGGAGCAATTCAATCCGCCATTTTGAATTTGAATTTGGCGGGGATTCATTGCGCATAGTCTCATKAAAATACCGCTGTAAATTACYATTGCATGTTCGCAATATCAAAAGCATGCGCATAAATGTAACACCGCTAGTGTTTTATTGCAGGCTCACCAACATACAGTTACMTACACGTGCAAGGTAATTCTAAAAGTTTTAAAGGTATTTTTTAAATTATTGAGWWGTTTTAAAGTAGTACAAGGATGGGACGCCATAAAGTTGATCCTGACAAACCGAAGAAAGGTCCAGGAAGAAAAACAAAGAAGCAACCCGAACCCAAAATAAAAGATTTGATAGGTAGGTTTGTGTTATGAGATTGTTTTTTGCCAAAAACGTGTTGTTTTGGATGGTTTTAAAAGATCATTTTCTTTTCTGATTGCTTGATTACCTTTGATTCTATAATTCACAGGAGTAATAACTCATCCATGTCTAAAAATAGCTGTTTTTTCGAGATCAAAACAAAACTTACAGTAGCTTTATACATATTGTAGTTGGACGTGTAATGACTTGAGTAATTGTGACGTTCTGTAGTAGTTTATAGCATGTAAAACATTATTTACGTTATTTTTCCAGCTGTTAATCAAAAGAAAGCAAGTGGTAGTAATAAAAAGAGGTAGAGTTTGCAGAAAGATTTTCTTCAAAATTTGTATTTGAACATTTGTCTTCCTTTGCATTGTTGTACATTACATCTTTAAAACACTTCTTTGTTGTATACCAGGAAAATCAAAGATGTCCAWGATGAAGGCAGTAAGTAGATATGATTGAATGGTGTCAACAATCTATTAATCACCTAAATACTGTATTTTATTTCAGCAACAARCCTGGAATTTGTTGAAAAACAAATCCTACGTTTAAACAATTTGTACTTGTTTTTCATTTTGAAATAACTTAAATTAATCCTTTATCAACAGAAGAAAATAAAGTTGCTGCATTTTTCAAGGTAAAATGATATGGATAACATGTTTTTATGAATACATATTAGTATCACTGTAATGTCAAGGGTATATTGGATTTAACTTTAACAAMATTCTGTACTATCTTAGTACATGCAAATAGATATTATTGATTATATTGATTATTAATATATTATTGATTGCAGACAAAGAAACCCAAAATTGATAAAGCTAATGCCAGGTAAATGAACAATGTGTAATCTATGAGATTAATAACAAATTCTGCAATTGATAAACAAAGAGAATTATGATTACTTCTTTAGAAAACCAAAAAAACAACCAGATACTGAAGACTTTGGTAGTAGTGACAGTGAAATGGATAATGAAGAGCCAAGTCGTATGCTTTTTGAAGACAGTAGTGGTAAATAACAATAATAATAATAACTTACTATTGAATAGTGCATAAATATTGCACTAATCAATAAAATGACTGACTGACTGAAAATGGATGACTTCTTTTTTCCAGATGATGAAATTGAGTTTAACATGAAGTCTAAATCAAAGTAAGCTTTGACATTTGATCTGAATTGTCTTAACACTGTTTACATTTTTATCTGTGATATTTTATGTACTCTAATGCATGTCCTGGATTATTTAGACCCTTTAGTGATGAGAATGCTGAGTGGTTAAAGCTGGCTAACGAGAATGATGATGATGATGATGATGAATCAGACTCTGATATGGTAAAAAAAATCATTAAAAAAAAACTGACTCCATTACAATCAATAATCAAGCTGATTGATTTTGTTTTGTTTCTGTGTCTTTAGCCAGAAGATGATTTCAGTGGAGATGACATCAACAACAATGATGGTGATGTCACAGGAGAAAGCAGTGATGATGATGATGATGATGATGATGATGATGGAAAAGATGATGATGAAGATGATGAGGTAAAAAAAAATCATGGCTCACACCTATATTTTATTATCTAATATTATTATTTTGTGAATTAACATTTATCTAATGTGTGCCCTGAATTGTCCTTAGATGCTTCCAATTGAAAAGAAAGCTAAGAAACTGGACAAGAAGAAGGCAAGAGATAAGTAAGTGGTTTGTAGACATTCACATATTTCTACTTGACAAATTACTTGTTCTTTATTCACAAACATGAATGGAATAGTTGGTGGAAATAAGGGAAATGGTTTTAACAATTATGAAACAAAGCATTTAGCAAACATGAGATGAACATGACAGGCTATTGGRGCAATCAGTATTGTTTGACCAAACTTCTAACTGGTGATAAACAATATTTATTGATGATGCATAAATAATTATTGTTATTTACTCTAAAGGAAACTTGCTGAGGAAGAACTCAAGACAAACATTGCAGAAACAGAGACATTTGTTTTGCCAAGTGGACAAGAGATTGAGAAAGAAGGTGCAAATTGATGTTGTGATTGAATACAACAAAATAAAATATATAATAATAATCTAGACCTACTAGTGTGAATCAGTCACTGAAAACATTGATTGTAACCTTCTCAGCTATAAATGACCCTTGTTTTTTGTCCATTTTACAGCCAATGAGCCACCAGATCTTACACTTATTAAYCAAAGAATAAGGGAAAACATAGCAGCTTTGAATAACTTCAGTAAGGCAAGAGAACCTGGCAGATCTCGTAAGGAATACTTGGATCTTCTTCACAAAGATTTATGCAAATACTATGGCTAYGGTGACTTCTTGATGGAGAAGTTTATAGAGATGTTTCAGCTTTCAGAGGTATTTTATAAWGGTGGAAATAAGTTGCTTTGATTGGATGAATAAAGGAACAAATAGATGAGGGGGGATGGTGTGGAAATGGATGGGAAAGAATTTGAATGAATGAGGAAGTGTTTGCTTGGCTGTGTGAATTGCATACTGTATGAATGCATGCTCTTATACTGTACATGTATGAAGAGTGAATTAATAAAGTGATGATTAATAAACTAGATTACAAATCATTCAATGAAGTAAGGAATTAAGTAATTAGTTAGTCATTGAATGGATGACTACAGGAATGGATGGATGAGGCAATGAATAGATGGATGATCAAACTAAATGGAATTRATTAAAAGATGCACATGAGTGTGTAAACATGAGAAATAAAAGACTTACATAATTTATTACCAGCTTTTGGAGGTTCTTGAAGCRAATGAAGTACATAGACCTGTAACAATACGTACAAACTCATTGAAGACCAGACGTCGTGATTTAGCGCAAGTATGTCACCAATTTAACTTCGGTCGCCAGGAAATCATGGTTTAATAATACTATTAACTGTCATGACTTTTATCTTGCAGGCTTTAATTAATCGAGGTGTAAATTTGGATCCCATCGGCAAATGGTCAAAAGTTGGTCTTGTTGTTTATGACTCTACTGTTCCCATAGGTAAGAATTGTTGAACCATCTTATCCCATAATTTATTACTGGCAGGGTATATAACAGAGACTTATAATAATTTCTTACTGGCAGGTATATAACAGAGACTTATTCTATTATCTTATTTGAAGGGGCCACTCCTGAGTATCTAGCAGGGCACTATATGTTACAGGGTGCCTCATCTATGTTACCAGTTATGGCCTTGGCCCCTAAAGAAAAGGAGCGTGTATTGGATATGTGTGCTGCACCTGGTGGGAAGACGACCTACCTTGGTGARTAGTGCTGTTAATTACTTGGATACATTGTTGTTGTTGTGTTTGTTTCAAAGTTTCTTGCCTGATTGCATTTTTTCATTGCTTGCCTGATTAATGATTTTTTTGTTTGATGTCTTTGTTTTCYTTTTGCTTGTCTTGTAAATCTTTTTTCTACTGTTTGCTGTAAAACTCCTGGTTTTTTTTCATTTTACTCTGCTTGATATCTTTGACAGCTGCTTTGATGAAGAACACAGGTGTTGTGATGGCTAATGATGCCAAGAAAGACAGGACAAAAGCCATTGTAGGGAACATTCATAGATTAGGTAAACGCATTGTACAAACAAGGCTAAGTGGTGCTGTGTATTACTAATAATGTGATTAATATACACTAGTAGTTTAATATACATGTATCTCTCTTATTTTACAGGTATAACAAATACTATAGTTTCACATTATGATGGCCGATCATTTCCAAAGGTAAGTGAAATATTGCTCATTCCAGACAACTCTTTCTCCACAAAGCTTTGTAGCTGACCATTTTGGCTTGGGCTACCTGTGTTATGTTAGTATATTGGTATGTTTGACTGTTCTCTTGTTGTGTAGGTGATGGGTGGATTTGATAGAGTATTATTGGATGCACCTTGTAGTGGGACTGGTGTGATATCCAAAGATCCTTCTGTCAAATTGAATAAGGTAAGACTGGACTCACAAATGTATAACGACATCAATCAATCAACCATGTATGGTAATCAGTCAACTGATTAAGTTGTCAGTCAATCTATCAACAAGCAATCAATTAAATAATCAATCAATCATTCAAACTGGCGATCAACCAAATATTAAGCCTACATTTCAAACAATCACTCAATCATTCAATCCATCAATTAATCAATCAATCATTCAATCAATCGCTCATTCCATCAATCAATCAGTCAATCAATCATTCAATCAATCAATCAGTCATTCAATCAATCAATCAATCAATCAATCAATCAATAATGATTTGTATCAAAAATGTTATTATCCTTACAGACAGAAAAAGACATACTAAGATGTTCACACGTCCAAAAAGAACTCATCCTGGCAGCTATTGACGCAGTGGATGCCAAGTCATCGACAGGTGGTTTTGTTGTGTATTCTACTTGCTCTGTTATGGTAAGTATGTTTTACAGGACATCAAATATTGCACTTCAATGATTTAAAGTTTTGTTTGTTTTTAGGTTGAGGAGAATGAGTGGGTCATAGATTATGCTTTGAGCCGACGATATGTCAAATTAGTGCCGACTGGATTGGACTTTGGAAAAGAAGGCTTCACTAAGTAAGCAAAATTTAATATCGTTCTAAGGAGTGAAAAAGCGGCTAGTCTCTATTTCACCCGAGCAAGCTACACAAAGTCTTATTGTGTTTTGAGACGCCAGTTTATGATGTGTGACATGTAATTTCGTCACACAACRTCTTCGCATGCGAATATTGCTATGACAACACTTTTTTGCAGTTATGGCGCCCCTCACTGTAGATACAACTGAAGGGCTATTGTATCTTGTTTTGCAAAATTTAAAAAAGCAAAAGAGTACCATAGTATACTTTTGGGAACCCTGTTTGATGTAGACAAACCTATAAGTACATGTACAAGATATTGAACTCTGTTACAAACTCMTGTACAGTTAAATCTACCCTATTATTTTCTCTCTATTATAAATTGTTATTACTGTTTATTAATGCTATCGTAATGAAATACTAAATAGAAACTTTGTATTTAGGTTTCGAGGTCGTCATTTTCACCCTTCGTTAAAACACACTAGACGTTTTTACCCCCATTCCCACAATATGGATGGATTCTACGTGGCAAAACTCAAGAAATTTTCCAATAAAATACCCGGCCAAGGTAATGTGCTTGCTGAGAAACTTTTACTAATAAAAACAATAGATAAAGTATTTAAAAAATATCCACCAACTACTACAGATTTTCCTCCATGCAAGTCGGAGTTCATTTTTGTTTACTTGTTACCTCTGTCTGTTGTTTTTCTTCCTTTAGAGTGCAAGTCACATAAGCATGAAACAATTCTTAACTATGTAGTGCTAAATAAGATTTAGTTATCAACTAACTAAGAATTGAGAACAATGCTACAAAGAAATTTAAATAATTGGCATTGTGTTTATGCTTGGTTGAATTCTTAGTTAGTTGATAACTAAATCTTATTTAGCAATACATATTAAGAATTGTTTCATGCTTATGTGACGTGCACTTTACTTATGCATTTAGCTCTTTACCAATTGCACGAGTTATCATTCATGAATACTTCGGTTTTCATTTCGTTGTTCTCCATGCATGGAAAACATTTCATAACTGCTGTTTTTCCTTGTATAGAAGCAAAAGTTTCGAATCAGTTAAATGAGGAAGAGGAAGAATCCAAGGCAAAAGAAAACTCAGAAACAGCAAACAAGAAACAACAAAAAGATAACCAAACTAATGATAAACAACAAAACCAGCAAAAAACTAAGAAACAAGAAMCAGAGAATRAAGATAAGAAGCAAAAACARCACCACAAGAGCAAAGATTCACAAAACAAACAAAAAAAGAAATCTCCGGGAAAATCAAAACGAACCTAAAGTAAAGGAGGAAAACCGATGACTAAAGAAAAATAATCCATTCGTAGTAATCGTATTTTACTGTAAATTGGTTRACATTATATTTTAGTATCAGAAAAGCCGTAACTGACGAGACCAAAGGCTTGAAATGACTTACAGCTGAATTAAATATGAACTCGATTTTACATCTTTGATAATTATAGAAATGAAAGAAAGAGCAAGTGTGTTGTAGTTCTCTGCCGGTTCAAGTGTAATTTTCCTGTACTTGCAATTCATGTGACATTCACTGAATGTTTGGCGTGCGTCGTAACGTAAGAATTTGTACAAAAAATCTTCCACTGTTAGCTTGAATTATTTATCGATAAAATTGTGAATTCTGGCATCTCTACTCTTTCTCTATCAAATTGACGCTTGGTTTTCTTCATGGAGTATATCTCTTTCTCCTCCAGCAACATGAAATCTCACAGATGTAATTTGTTATCTTTGAACGGAACTTTTTAGAAACAACACCGTAAACAACTGGGTTACAACAGCAGTGAAGCTGCACGAGTTGGTCTGAAAATAAAAATACAACTTGACCAAGAGATTTTTCTTGGAATACAGTGTCACACAGCCAAGCKATTTGTAGTGGTAAAGTCGTAATGGTGTACAACACGAGAATTATTACAGTTATACGAATGACTTCTATTGTCTGCTTGCGTCTTCTGACGAACTGTAGTTGGTTGGCGCTGCAGTCATTCGGAAAAGTATGTTTTCTGAGATGAAAGACAATCTTAAGGTAGCAAAAACTGATCACAGACAATGGAAATAGATACTGTGTGGCGACAAGAACCAGTGTGTAGACTTTGTTCATAATTTGCATCTGTGAGGGCCAGTCCTCTCGACAATTTTCGCCTTTTCGCCCGTGCTTTATCACCAGATACAGTGGAATAAATATAACATGGGATAATAGCCAAATCGTTACAATGGTTCCATAAATCGTGTTTTTTCCTGGCCGAAAGTGAAGTGGTTTTGTTGTAGTTTTATATCTAAAGATGGCAATGGCTACCACGGTGTACATACTTACAACAAGACAAATTGACTGTATTGGATAAATTGTCTTGCAAAACAGTAACGATTCACTCTTAACATAAGCAGCAGTTAGAAACCCTATCTCAAATATCAAGTCAGCAATACTTAAATTTCCCACAAAGTAATCAAAAGGAGTTTTGCCTTTAGYCTTGGTGCGATTTAATAGAAGAAGAACAAGTACATTGCCAGTGATTGACACGAAGGCGATGAGAAYATTGATCCCTAACTTTATGCTCCATTCYAAATTTCCTTCCGAGTCTGAGACAGTACCGTTGGTTGCATCATTTGTAATAGTCAAAGCCATGATCAAAAATTAAAAACTTTTTGTAATCACTGCACTCTAGTCTTCGTACGAGCTTATACGGGATTCAAACGTCAAATCCCACATGCGATGAACATGACAATAATGTTTGAAGCAATGAAATGTTGGAGTAATTTTCATGCAGTTTTTCGGCGTATACAAAGGTTTAATTCCAGTAAACGATTAATAACGTAATCAATAACCTGCTCCCAGGGCTTGCTTATCAATTTTCTTTGCTTTGTTTGTTGAGGGCGAAGCAATTAAAATAATGAAAATATATGAAGACTAGCGCAATACGCTTTTGCCACCTTCCTCGGTTACAACTTTTACAGAAGGCGTTAAGCACTGAAGATGGTAGTTGTTAAAGTTGTCTAGAATTTCAATGGATAATTAAGCTTGAGGATTGTCATATTCAGTAACGAATGCACAGCCAACGTGTAGGGGTTTAGTGGCAACAATGCATGGCAATCTTGTAATGCCTTATGTATCACATAATATTATTATTGACGGATTCTATGAAGTCGCTTTGATGTCAATATGCCTGCGTGAATAACAAGTTGYCATTTTTTGAGCTGATAATTTGCCAATCACTATGTCAACGAACCTAGACCCGATTGCTTCCAATTTTATGACGCAGCTGCATATTTTTTGAATTTTTATTTTAATAACATGTAACTAAGACATCCCCATATTGCACAAAAATCAGCTAAAATCCTCGCGAGAAGAATTGAAATCCTTTGGAAATTAAATGAAGAAAAGGAAAGAAAAGTTTACTACATGAGTAACTGAGTTTGAAATTTACTAAACCTGATTCATTTAAACAAGGAATTTTAATATGTATTGGGATGTTCTTGAAATTTTGAATTAAAGTTGCTTGGGCTATTTTTAGTCCTAATACTAATGCTGAAACTTCATAGCGTCTGCTGGCGATCCTCAATTTGTTCAACCATAATTGGCCTTGCCTTGACAAAGTTGGCAGYTGATAGATCTAATTAAACTGAATGTCATGATCAAAATACTTATCAACCAATTTTCTATTGAGTAGTTTTTTTCTTCAAAACAAAAGGGTTTTTTTATTAATATAGTGCGATGTAGTTTTTTGTAGGGGATCATGAGAAACAATAGCAAGTGCGCGAGTGCTAAGCTCCAAAATATCTAAATCATTGCATAAAGTATATTTGTTGCTGGCATCGACCGTAGCCATAAATAAAGAGCATACATAGCTAGCCTCCCTCTATTCATAAACTATACATGACGCAAGGTTAAGTAACCTCACTCCAGGGGTATAATCTCGACCGACTCCCAATTCAAGATGGCGGACATCGTCGGTGATCTTAGRTAAAAACTTCTTTAATCGAGCTTGCAAAGAAAAGCTTTTACAGTTACTTTTTTTCTAAGAGTGGCATTTTGTGGCTGCGCACGCGCAGTTAAGTAATCATAGGAACTGTCAATCATGTTAAATGGAGGYGGATTAAGTTGAGTACTTCAAAACGCTTTTAATGTTTTCAATAAAAGGATGTTTCAACTTTCAATTCAAAGACAACGATCTTGACATGTTTGTTCATTCATGTTTGGTTAGTCGACAGGTGTTTACAGGCACGACTGACATCATACTATCATTAATTTTCTTTCTAAAATAATYAACATCACTATTCCTGAATAAAATATAGAGAAAAGAACTAGAATATCACCTCGTAAAGAGAAAAAGAAAATGGCAACTAGCTATGATTCAGACTTGCTGAGCTAACTAAATTTACTTTTCGGTGCTTCAATTTGTCTGACAGAAAAAATTATCTGTTAGGTACATTTTTCATTGTAACTTATTTTAGCGCGTTCGGTTTTTTTGGTCAAGTTCTTTTGCGAGGTCTATCGGTCTGTCCAGAATCTGTAAAACCCTGTTTTCATTTCATGGAAGTAAGCGGGGATCTGAAGTGAGCCGCTAGATGAACGAAGAAGAATCGGGAAGTTTTCCTTCCGTCCTTGGCTTATTTATCACAACTGAAAACCTTTCTAACTTGTCACGTCGTTTACGGTTTCTTTATGACTGTCGATGACCATCACTCTGTTTTTTCTACAGCAGCGGCATACTATGAGTGCTTTACAGTTCGCTATAAGCTGTTTTCTAAAATCCTTTGAAATCATTCCGTACACGATTGGATTACAGCAAGCGTGCGCGAGAACAAGTTCGTTTGAGAACATAAAGATGACGTTTTTGATGGATTCATTCTCAAACACAATCCAGCTAATCCAGGCGATTTGAGTCGGTAGTGTTAACAAAGTGTACAATAMTACAATGATAACGGACATTTTCATGACTAGTCTGTCTTGTTTTCTTTTTCTTGCGAGTTGTAAATGATTTCCTTTCCCACTATAGGGAACGATGTGCTTCTTCAGAAACATAACAATCTTTGTGTAGCAATAAGTRATTATTGCCAGGGGAATGAAGTACTGAATAACAAAAAGAGATATAGTATATACTTTGTTTAAAACTTGAGCAGGCCATTTTTCACCGCATGAACCTGTTTTATGGTCAAAATACAACACAAAATAAAARGGAATRAAGGAACAATGWGCAAAAATCCATAAACCTGCGATGGTACCAAARATAATCACACCAGACGGCCGATACTTAAACGGACTTAGAATTGCCTTAAATCGAAATACTGCAATAGCAACAACCGTATGCATGCCAACTTGAAATGTTACAGASACAATTGGWATGATTGCTTTACACACGAAAGAAGAACGAGGGATTTTTAAGTATTCCTCCATGACCAGAGTGACACCAAATACCATGTCAGCCACACAAAGATTAGCAATAAAGTACTCATACGGTGGTCTTGGTGGCTTACTTTTATGCTTTCTTAGAATCCACAGAACACTGAAGTTTCCGAGAAGTCCTACCACAAATGTAATGATATTTACTCCAAGTTTTATCTTCCATTCTAAGGAATTAACCATTATTTGCTCAGTGCGCGTCCTCTCTGGATGAAGTACAGTTCATTCTTTTTGAACAACTTATGTTTCCTTGGTTTTGAGTAAACAAATTGGATATCAATTGGAACTTCACCTGTAGGCGCTATTTGTATAGTATGACTAGTTTATGTTTAGTACTAAATGAACCATAAGCGTCATTCACTCAGCAATTATCCAGTGCAAAAAATCACTTATGTCAGATAATACATATGCGGATATCTTGTTTCTTTGATAAACAGTGTATAGTGATACTTGATCGATCCTTATCAAGTACCAACTCACTGTTTATCTAAAGATATCATCTCAAGACATACCATCTCGACCCGTCAAGTAAAAACGATGTTAAAGTTTCAGGGCAGGTGGGATTTGTCTCTCTCCGGTTCCATATTGATCCGGAATCAAACGGGGACGTTCCACTAGTGCCTCTAAACCCCGACCCTATTCAAGGGTAAAATGTAGACCCTATCTGATGCTCGAAGGTTGACATAAGCTAGGTAGTGTCCCAATAAAAGATGTTAATGTTTCCTTCCGTCGATCCTTGGCTTATTTATCACAACTGAAAATCTTTCTAACTTGTCATTTTGACTTGTGTTATTTTACATTTTTACTTCATAGTCTACAGATGAAAATTAATACTTTCCTCCTGCGACAAACATGAATAATACATGATTATAATAATTGACTCAAAAAGAAAAAAATAGCAGAACAAATGAAAAGGCCGTGCTTGGATTCGAACCCTTGCCTAAACACTTTAGAAAAACATTATGACGATTCCCGACCCAAGACATTCTGTGAAAGCGTTGAATCGATTTACATTCCATCTAGAGATTTTGGCTCTTCCATTTCTATCCCGATAATTGGTCCTAACTTCACGCTAAATAAAAGCCAGCGAGTTACAGTGAACTATGGAAAGAATAATGTCAAATTGCATGGGATAGTCTATTCGGTGAACGTGCCAACAGGGACCGTGGAGCGTGAATTTGTTTGGGTGTGGTGGGGGGGGGGGGGGGGGGTCTAGCGTCGAGGAGGTGCTTGGGGGGTTCGGAAATTGTTGAAGTCTTCTCTCGGAAATGTCATTTCCAGCGTTTTGAGGTGTTATCAAAAAGACATTTTTACCGCACACACGGTCAGCGATATTATCAATAAACCCCAAGACTTCGCAAAAAAGCTTCAATTTTAATTGTTCACGCTCAGTTTTTACACAATTTTTATAGAATATATATGGTGAAATTGCACAAGGATGCTATTCGCTTCTTTATTTGAGAAAATTCAAAATGTCGGAAAATTGTTGAGGGGGGCTGTAGCCCCCCTACTCCGCGGTCCATGGCCAAGTGGTATATTCGTGGAACACGAAAAAATAACATAGAACAGCAATAATAACAGCAACTTTAAACTTATAAACAAAAGAGGAAACACCTAATTAGCGGACTTCCGATGAATAACAAGATATCCTTTGCTATGATCTCTCCACGTAGGTATGACTGGCTGTAGGTTCGAATTTCGATTTGAATTCATCACCTTAAGTTTCGTTATTTTTCTCTTTTTTAAAGCTTATTGACATTTATATCAACCAAAACATATTCAGTTCAATAATTTGTTTCAAGAATTATTATCCACTGCCTAAATTAGTCGTAACATTTCCGTACAATCTTCGCAGAACAATCTCTCGTCAATCGTTTAGCAAAATGTTCGAGTGTCTATGGGGCTCCTGTGTCGAGCATATTTTGCTTGAGGACTGGTTTAGAGGTAGAACCAAGATGGCGGACGAAAGTGGGGGAAAAAGTGAAGAAACTAACTTACCAGGAATAGGCGAACTACAAGCATTCTCTCAGGTAAAAGAATGTTTTTACTTTGTCTTACCTTTCAAGACTTGCTGTGTACATTTTTTGATCATTGAAACTGCATTGAACTGCTAAGTTAGCTTAGATAACCACGTGAGAGCAAAACAAAAACAGCTGTTTAATATTAATCTAATAAAGTCAAGTATTTTTGTTTTTATTTATSTTTAAAGTGAGCTTTGTCGATGTTTAAGTTAATAGGTAATGTTGTTGATGGTTGGTTTGAAAAGTATGAAAAATATGTGTAAAACATGAAGAGAAGTTTGTGTTCGTGAGGAAAACTCGCAGCGCTGGAAATCTGTTCTTCAATCTCTACTTTGACCCGATCATTTGATTATATATTAAGCTAATATTGTTTCTTATTACAGCAAGCTTTAAGAGTRCTTGTRGGGGCTACTCAAAAAGCCAACTCTTTACCCAGTGCKGGTGAAGACCATGACTTCTACTACAGCTTCTCTGACTTYAGAGAGTTTAGAAATGCCCAGGGAACTAGATTGCTAAACAAGTAAGAACATTGCTACAATAAAGTCCCATAAAGATAAGTTGTATAAAACTGTTAAAATATTATAATTTGTTTTTATTTYCAGTGCCCATGACTTRTTACGTCATTTCCATGTTCAATGTGGTTGGCCAAAAAGAGGCCAGTCTTGTGATAGTGTTGATGTAGATGACTTGTTTGAAAATTTAGTTGAAGCAAATGATATCCTTCTTGAAGAAGTGGTAAGATGTGCTATGTCAGAGTAGTATTGGATTGGATTATGACATGCCATGCCCTCTACAAAGACATTATGAATTCTCTCCATTTCATTTCATTAATAAGACTTCTTTTTGTACTTGTGTAAGATCTACTTATGTACTCTAAAGCCACAAGAATTCCTCCAATAATTGATTACTTTTTTCTTCTTTGATTTTGGAATTGATAAAAAAAGTTCATTACCATGCAATGTTCATTTATCAGGATACCAGACTAGATGAAGCTTCTGGTTTATCCAAGAACAAAAATCCAGTTTTAAACAAGTCAATCCAGTCTAACAAACCTGTTGTATCCAGTTGGAACAGGAGAAGTGTAAGTTTCTTATAGCTGTTGGTTTTCAGATAAAAAGCCATGTTGATAGAGCAAACACAGGAAAACCATGAAGTAAAATCAAACTAAATCCTAACAAGTAGCGGCTATTTAAAGACAAGTTRTCAGTATCAATGAACAAGAACGAAATCAAGATGGATTAAAAATTGATACTGATAAGTTGTCTCTAAATAGCCGCTATTTGTTAGTTTGTGTTTATTTTTATTTTATTCATGCTTTTTCGTGAGTTTGCTCTAGCTCATTAACAAATGATTTTTCATTTGTATGAACTGCTCTT